GGATCAGCAGCTCCGTCGACTTCTGGTAGCGCCGGATCTCGCGCAGCGCCACCGTGCCGGGCCGGTAGCGGTGCGGCTTCTTCACGCCGCCCGTGGCCGGCGCGCTCTTGCGGGCCGCCTTGGTGGCCAGCTGCTTGCGGGGCGCCTTCCCGCCCGTCGACTTACGCGCCGTCTGCTTCGTGCGCGCCATCGTTCTGAGACCAAGAACCCGGCGGGGAAGGACCAGACGCAATGACTGCTGCCTGCTAGTCGGGGAGTATATATAGCGGTAGTGCCTTCTCTGATAGGCGGAGGGCTACATCCTGGGTGTCATTGATTGGTGGATTCGAAGTTTAAAAATCCCGCCAGGGGCAAGTACCGCCCACCGCCCCTCAGTCATTGTTCTAGCTATGGACCGCTGCCGCCTCAGCAGGCCATTCCTCTATCATTGTGTAGTTTTTTCGTTTCTGGAAACCCCTCATGTACTATTGATTTCAAATTCTTTTCAGTATTGTGTGAGTTAATAATTAAGACTTGCCTTTTGAAAGATTTTATTCATTTCACTGTGTAATTTTCCTTTTTTTCAAGTATAATTCTCTGTGCAGCGTTCATAATGATAAATTTTCACTGGAAGATACAGAACTTTTTATTTAAGTACTTTAAAACATTTCACAAACAAACAGTATATGAAAAGAGAATACAGGGAAAAAAGATAGCAGTTGAAAAAGAATAGGTTAGAAGGGAAAATAAAACATTAGAAAAAAACCATTTCATTAAAGAATCAAAAAGATTCACCCCTTTTATTCCCCTTTTATACTAGATGAACACATCAATGGGGCAGAAGTTTCAGGTGCAATCGGACAGTGACTGCGAGACCTGTTTCCAGTAGTGTTCCCCTCAGCATTTGGGGTGGGCAGAACAGAAGGGAGTGATTGTCCGGTGCATGGAAGCCGTGTACAGTGTTGAAAGGCCGGAAAACGTCGGGGTGACCCGGTGTTGGGAATGGTCGAAATCTTCCCGCGGGGAAAAGACCCAGCGTGAAACAACGCGGGGAGGAGGAGTACCGCCTTTCGGCTCTCCCGGTAACCCCCCGCCCCCTTTCCCCTCCGTTACTCCCGCTCGCTGACACAGCCACCGTGCCTCTCTCTTCCTCTCTCCCCCCTCCTCAGCTCCGGCCTCCCAACGCGCACGTTGCCGACCCGGCTGCTCAAAACCAATCAAAACAAAGAGAAGGTACAGGCAAATACGGGGCGGCGCGGCGCGGCCCCCGCGGGTCCGGGCGGCGGCGGGATCGATCGTTCGTTCCGGGCGGAGCCGCCTGCCGAATCCCGCCCCTGCCGCCTCGCCATTGGCCGTCTCGAGAGGGCGGGCGGAGGCCTTTCGGAGCTGCGCCCCTCGCTATTGGCCAGGACGGGATTCTCTCGGCCATTGGGTGCGCGTTCCCCGGTCGGGGCCTCGGCCTATCAGGAGCCGCCGGCGGCGCAAAGGGAAGGGATATAAGGGCGGGCCGCAGGGCGCGGGTAACTCACCTGCTTCTGTCCGGCGGCAGCGGGAGCTTGGTGCCGAGCGAGGGAGCGAGCGACCGACGGAGCGAGGATGTCCGGCCGCGGGAAGCAGGGCGGGAAGGCGCGGGCCAAGGCCAAGTCGCGCTCGTCGCGGGCCGGGCTGCAGTTCCCCGTGGGCCGCGTGCACCGGCTGCTGCGCAAGGGCAACTACGCGGAGCGGGTGGGCGCCGGCGCCCCGGTGTACCTGGCGGCCGTGCTGGAGTACCTGACGGCCGAGATCCTGGAGCTGGCGGGCAACGCGGCCCGCGACAACAAGAAGACGCGCATCATCCCCCGGCACCTGCAGCTGGCCATCCGCAACGACGAGGAGCTCAACAAGCTGCTGGGCAAGGTGACCATCGCGCAGGGCGGGGTGCTGCCCAACATCCAGGCCGTGCTGCTGCCCAAGAAGACCGAGAGTCACAAGGCCAAGAGCAAGTGAACCGGGCCGGGAGGAGCGCCCCGAGCACAGAAGCGAAACCCAAAGGCTCTTTTCAGAGCCACCCACAGCCTCGCGAAGGAGCTGGAGATGCTGCTGCGCGGCGGGCCGGGGAACGGCGTGCGTGCGTTCCTCAGGGGAGGGTCGGCTCGTTCCAAGGGGGCGTGGGGGGCGACTCCCCTCTGTAGTCCCCCGGCCCAGTTATGAGCCGCCGAGCTCAGGCGCGGCCGGGAAGCCATCGTGTCGCTCGCGGGCCCCGCAGCGGCTAGCGGGCGGAGGCTCGATCGCGCTGCTCTGCCGAGCGAGCGCGGAATCGCCCGGAGCCAATCGCCGCCCGCGCGGGCTCTTCAAAGAAGCGAGGGCGCTTAACCCGCTCGCCGCCGGGGCGGGGCCCGGCTCCTGTGGGAGGCCGCCAGCCCCCCCCACCCCTCCGCGCGGGAGCTCGAGCTCCCTTCCCCGCTTCGCCGCCCGACGTGAAGCCGGTGTGGTCACGGCCCTTTCCCCGCTTCGGGCAGGAGGACGCGAAGGATGCGCCGCCCTGCACTAGAGAACTCGGCGAGACGGAGCCGGGTTTCGCTTCTTTCCCTTTTTTTATTTCTCTATTGTTCTGGCAGGAGGGGGGCTGTTGCCCCGGCCCGTGTTTTTTCCGCACGCAGCCGCGGATGAGAGAGGCTCTAAGCTCGCCCTACAGGGCCCCGGCGGTGTCCAGGGACTTCTGGGCGTCGGTAAATGCCTCGGGAAGGGCCGCTAAGTAGCAGAGCGCTCGCCAGGCAGGGCGCAGCGCCCCAGCAAGCTCTTCCGAAAGCGGCTGCCGGAAAGGAAGAAGGAGGAGGCAGAAGAGCTGGGAAGGGAAACGACGCGGCAGCAGGGCGCTAGAGAGAAACCCAGAGGCGGACTGCAAGGCTCGCCAGCCCGGCTGCAGGTCGGCAAGAAAAAAGCGAGGGGACGCGGGGTTACGATAAGGAGCACGGGGGGCACGGAAGGCAAGGAAGCAGAAACGTAGCAAGAACTGGGGGAAGTGCAACAACGCGACACGGCTCTTTTAAACGAAAAAGTGGGTGGCTCTTAAAAGAGCCTTTGGGTTCTCGAGGTGGTCGGTCGGGGAGCGAAGAGGCGTTCAGCCGCCGAAACCGTAGAGGGTGCGTCCCTGGCGCTTGAGGGCGTAGAC